CTTCCTTCCTTCCTTCCTTCCTTCCTTCCTTCCTTCCTTCCTTCCTTCCTTCCTTTCTTCCTTTCTTCTTTCTTTCTTTTTTCTTCCTTCTATCCTTCCTTTCTTTTTTCTTCTTTTCATTTTTATTCTTTCTTCTCTCTCTCTCTCTCTCTTTTATATGCCACTTCTTGAGCATGAACTTCATAGATGACAACATTGTATCTCAACAATGTCATGTCTCAATGCCAAAAGACTGGCCATTCCTCTTCCATATCTTCCCTATAGTAGGAAAAGAAGCAACATGAGATAACAACAAAAAGTGCATACATCCCATGCCTTCAAGGAATATCTTCAAAGTAAAAAGCAAGCAAGCAAACAAACAAAACATGTAGCCTGAAGAGTACTACTTGTGAATAGAATGTAGAACTACATGTGAATAGAAATACTGAAAACAGGTAACAGCTATTTATGCTGGGCTGGTGATAGCTAGGAACACAGCAGCTATCATGTGTGCTTTGGCACAACCCCCAAAATAGGAAGGAAAGTTGGAAATCTTCATGGTGAGAAAGGGGAAGGTTGCAAGTATGATTGGAAGCTGTTGATGTGTAGAAACTGTAGGAAACTAACTGGAACTTATGCCATTGGCTAGGGGGACATATTGGAAACTCAGTCATTAATAAGATCCTGGGTGTGTGAACGAAATTGTTATAAGAATAATCATTGAGCTTCTGATGCAAGCCCAATGCTAGAGAGAGTTCCATAGAAGTGATACAGAAAACATAGGCCCTACCATTGCTTTCCATTTTCTTTACTGAAAAACACTCCGCCTCTCTCTTTTTCCCTTCCTCTCTCAATTCCCCCCCCCGTGTGTGTGTGTGTGTGTGTGTGTGTGTGTGTGTGTGTGTCAAAGAACTTATAATGGAGGTTGGAGCAGTACCTACAGTTTTCTGCCTCATTTACTGGGAAACAGTTGGAGTGTGTGGGGGGGGGGCTGTAAAAGAGGCTTGGGGACTGCCACCTACAAACAGGGCAAGTTTCATGCTACTAATAAGCTACTCGTTTAAAGACCCACCAGAAGCCACATACTTCCCCCACACACACCCCAAATTTATGTTTCGTTTTCAAAGGGAAGACTGTTTTGCAATTCCCAGGGTAGGAGGATACCCAGGGCAGCTTAATGATGCCAGCAGCTTTTCAGAAGGAGTGAAGGGGGTAAAGCTGGAAAATACCAGTAGCCAATAGCACCTGTATTTGAATCTACATCTTTGAGATAAGCAAAGGCTTCAGATTACATTGTAAACCACAATTGAATTATATTTACCTCTGTGTTCTTGGACTGTAGCTGACTAAAGTAAAAGAGAGAGAGAGAGAGAGAAGAAGAAGAAGAAGAAGAAGAAGAAGAAGAAGAAGAAGAAGAAGAAGAAGAAAGAAAGAAAGAAAGAAAGAAAGAAAGAAAGAAAGAAAGAAAG